AAGTATAAGCCGAGGCGGCTTTTTTCAGCCCAAAAAGTGGGCTGAAAAACTCAGCTTATACTTGAGTATATACGGTACTACTTGCTTTGCTTGATCAAAGCCTAGGGACATTAAGAATACCGGTGAGAGCCCATAAGAGCCCAGCTTGTGATCAATTGCCTGTTTCCAGGGGGAGGGGAAGTTGTCAGTTAACACTAGTGGTGCTCACGGCTAGTAACAGGAGCTCACTCCATTATGCAGCGCTAGGGATTCGAACCGCTGAACTCCTGACCTTCTGATCAACAAGCTCAGCATCTTAGCCACTGAGCCATCACGTCCCACTACAATGTTGGCTAGAAAGTATTTTTTTAAAAAATACTGGATATACAGTAGTAGGACAAATAAAACAGCTTCAGAGTAGGTTTATTTGTCCATTTGTCCATAACAACTTGAATTGGCTCTCTTATTATTATCTGAATCTGTCAAAGACTGGAAATGAATCTTCTACATGTACAGGATATGACCTTCAAGAACTGAACAGAAATGTCACCTTTGGGCTCCTGTGAAGAATCTGTTCCCATCACTAATATAACCATTTCAAACTGGGGTTTTTTCACCTCTGCTCATGATCTTTGTTCACAGGAGATGATTACCAATTCTCCCTGCAGGTGCTATTTGCATTTAAAAGAAGGTGTAAGTTTGGCTTAGAGTTGTACTTTGTGGCAGGCTTCCTGAGAGAAAAAAATGCATATTCATACACAATCAGAATGCAGCCATTCCTGAAGAGATGCAATTTTGCTTTTTATTTGGACTGTCTGTGATTAGAGGTCATATACAACTCAGAGCTGCTTGGGAGTGACCTTTCCCCATTCTGTTGCAGACAAATATTTTGGGGTTCCTCATTAATTTTGCCTACCAAATTAGAACTTTAATTATAAGACAGTAGTGCAACATTTTACTAAGGATCAATGATTCGCCAACATCTGTATTGATAAGAATAAAGGAAGATGATGGCTGCTTAAACTGAAACTCCTTCAAAGTCCTTCAAATTAGGAATAGGCTGAGCAGAAATAGACAGTTCAGTCTAGAACCAAGATGGCAAACCTATGGCACGTGTGCCCAAAGTGGCTGACACCCATTCGTCTTCCAGGTTTCTGGCATGCATGCACGGGTGACACCCAGCTGGCCTTCGTGCGTGCAGCAGTGTTGGAAACTGGAAGAGCTGGTCTTCCATTTTGCTGCATAAGCATGTGCCAGGCAGCTGACTGTTGCGCATGCATGCGCACCAGAAATCCAGAAGACTAGCTGGCTGGCACACATGTGTGTGCCAGAAACCAGAAGTTCATTTTTGGACATGCGCATGCACCCTGGGCACCTCCTCCTCCGGGTTGCGGCCCAGACGGGTGTGTACACTCCCTTTTCAGCACTTGTGCTGAAAAGGTTCGCCATCAGTGGTCTAGGATTTTGTTTCCTGAGATAAGCTCTTTAAAAATTCGTTTCATTTTTAAATTCTGATATATCTATTTAAAAGACCAGGAAGAAGGGTGAAAAATCACCATCAAAAAGAAATGCATTATTTTAGACGCATTGCAGAAAGAAAAACTTTGGCATTCCTATTACCTGTATTTTGAAAGAGAGATCCAATAAAGAGTGCTGGGCCATGTGGGAACATAAGACTATGCTGCATTAAACATTAACTATCATAATTAAGTGCCTGCACAGAGGTTGTTGTATGGTTTGCACTGCATTATATTGTATATACATACTATAATGAGCACCTTAGGAATGTAAGTATAAAATCTGACAAGAGCTAGTCTATTCTGCTTGCACCAAAGGACCATAAAATTAATTATTTAAGGTATCAAAGCTTTCGCATTGTTCTCACAGGAGCACAATAAGTAAAGCCCATACTGTTTGATCCCACTTTATAGGCAAAATAAGAGGAGATGAATAGCAATTCAGCTAAGACCATTATAATGCCACAATATTATCTGATTGTGGCAGATAACAGGTAGATCAGGCTGAAGGCAACTTTTTAAATGAAGGGCTACCACATTGATAGTAAGTGTTGAACCTTTGTTTCTAGCCTCTGTACTGTGACTATATATATGTCACTATATATAAAGCACTGTATGTATGTATGTATGTGTGTGTGTGTGTGTGTGTGTATATATACTGTGACTATATATATGTCACTATATATAAAGCACTGTATGTATGTATGTATGTATGTAAGTATCTATTAGA